CAGAGGAAGGCAAAAAAACCCAGCAATAATCACCCATGTTATTATCTCATACTTGGTAGAAGACTGAATTGATGTGGTTGGCCTCTCTTGTACCCCCTGCCCAAGTTCCACTGATGGTGCTGAAGGACAGGAGAAACATGAGTGCAGGTGTAGATAGCACAACTTGCAACTATGTGTGTATGTATATATACAGTTGTAAAATTATTATGCTGTAAATTATATAGTGTACATTTGGATTGTATTCAGCGCTACAAGGACGTTGTGCTACCCAGCAACTAAAATGCTGTATGTAATATATGGTTCTTATGTGGTTTCTTCATTGCCACAATTATTCAACCCCTTAAAGAGTACCACTCTGAAGAACAGAGGTTCATACACAGTGAAAACACCTGTGGACACCGAGCAAATCAAGCATAATAACACCAATTATGGGCAGTCCTTTAAAATGCTGTGATACTCAGCTCCTTCTAGACATTTACTGGTGTGGTTACAAACATGGTGAAGGCAAGAGAATGGTCCAGGAAGACAAGAGAAGAGGTGTGGTTCTCTTCAAGAGTGGAGGGCAATGGCTATAAGTGAGGATGCAAAGATGTAACATACCAAGAGACACCTTGAAGATCATTCGCAAATTCAAGGCAAAGGGGGTGAAACGCTACCTGGCAGAAAGAAGATGCTGACTTCGACTGCTGTGGCTACCTGGGTAGAGTGGAGAGAAGTCCCCGTGTGACTGCTGAGGAACTGAGAAAAGATTTGTCAGATGTGGGTACAGAAGGTGCGTAATGAAGGCCTCCGTGCCAGAACTCCCAGGCGTACCCCCTTGCTGTCTCCAAAGAATAAGAAGAGTCGACTGCAGTATGCCAAAAGCCATGTGGACAAACCACAAAAGTTGTGGGATAGTGTTCTGTGGATGATGAAACAAAATTAGAACTGTTTGGGCCCATGGATCAACGCTATGTTTGGACCAGAACAAGGCCTATGATGAAAAGAACACCTTGCCTACTGTGGATGGTGGAGGGTCAACATGCTTTGGGGCTGTTTTGCTTCTGGTACAGGGAAGCTTCAGCGTGTGGGTATCATGGTACCAGGAGTGGGATGAAACGTGATGCAGTCCCGGGCTTGGGAGCGTTGGATTTCAACAGACAATGATCCCAAGCATACCTCCAGTCCATAGAGCATGGTTAGGAAATTGGAAATTTTGGAGTGGCCATCGCAGGGCAATCGATTGAGAGCCTCTGGTGGGACTTGGCAGAGGTTGCAGTGCGCAAGCCTAAGAATGTGATGAACTGGAGAGCCTTTGCCCATGAAGAATGGGCGAAGGTAGATCGCTGCAAGTTGGTCAAGCTATGCTTCACGTTTAAAAGCTGTAAAGGATGCTGTACTAAGTACTAAGATTGAATGTCACTGGGGGGGTTGTGATAATGCTGTGAGCACAGAAAAGACATTTGTGGTTATTTCATTATAACTGTTATGATTTGTCTGACCTACAAGTGCCTCTTTAATGTAAATGTAAGCAAGATGACTAGATCAAAAGCAATGTCAAACTGCCAAAACACTAATTTCAGTGGGGGTGAATAATTTTGGTCACAACTGTATATTAGTTATACAGGATTTATATAGCGAACAGTTTGCTCAGCGCTGTACAATATAGTGGGAGACAGTACACGAGACACCACAGTAACAATACAATTCAATACACGAGGGGTTCGAGGGTCTGCTCCTTGGAGCTTACAATCTAGGAGGGAGGCGATAGTGGCACAGGAGGAGATAGCTGTGGGGGATGGAGTGGTGAGAAGAGTGGAGGAGGTCAGCAATTCGGTGAGGATGGGGTAGGCTTCCTGAAGAGATGGGTTTTCAGGGTGCGCCTAAAGGTGAGGGGGGTAGGTGACAGTCTGATGGATTGGGGTAGTGAGTTCCAGAGGATGGGGGAAGCCCTGGAGAAGTCCTGGAGATGGGCATGGGAGGAGGAGACCAGGGAACTAGAGAGTAGGTCTTGTGAGGAGTGGAGAGTACGGTTTGGGTGGTATTTGGGTATCAGGTCAGTGATGTAGTTTGGGGCAGCGTTATGAACAGCTTTGTACGTCAATGTTAGTAATTTGAATTTTATGCATTGGGCAATCGGAAGCCAGTGGAGGGATTGGCAGAGGGGGGTGGCGGATACGGAGAGGTTAATAAGGTGGATGAGTCTGGCCACCAAATTCAGGATAGACTGAAGTGGGGATAGCCTGCGGTGAGGTAAGCCGGTGAGGAGGGAGTTGCAGTAGTCAAGTCATGATATAATAAGGGAATGAATGAGTTGCTTTGTAGTTTCTGGGGTTAGGAACGGGCGGATTTTGGAGATGTTGCGGAGGTGGAGTCTGCATGAGTTTGTCATCGATTGGACCTGGGGCTGGAAAGACAGATTGGAGTCTAGGATATATATATATATGTATGTATGTATGTGTGTATATGTATATATATATATATATTTATTGAAATATAGTTTTAAATATATTGAATACGGCCAATATTGTACCATTTCAAATATATGTCAATATATTTCAAAAGAATATTTTTTAAATATATTTCAAATATATTTTTCTTCCATGTGGGCAGGGACAAGCTGAAGACCAGTCAGCACTGATAGTGAACAATAGCGAGCATCCCTTAACTAGGCCGCCTGGCGCCAACAGAGACCGTGGACACTCTCCTACATGCACTTGCACGCGCACGCCTGGTCCCGACTCTTTGGGTGACACTGTGCACATATGCACGCCTGGTCCTGACTCTTTGGGTGACACTGTGCACATATGCACGCCTGGTCCTGACTCTTTGGGTGACACTGTGCACATATGCACGCCTGGTCCTGACTCTTTGGGTGACACTGTGCACATACGCGCGCCTGGTCCCCGACTCTTTGGGTGACACTGTGCTCATACGCATGCGCGCCTGGTCCCCGACTCTTTGGGTGACACTGTGCGCATACGCGCGCCTGTGAGCCAATCGCCTTGCTGGAATTCCCTGACATTTGTACACCGGACCTGGTCGCATTTTTGTTGCATTTTTAATGTAAAAATAAAATTTGTGGACGTTTTATGTACATAATATAAACTAAACTATTCTACCCCTAAAATACAAAGCCCCAAACCCTCCAAATAGAGGAAGTAAAAAGAGAGATCTCATTTTGTCTAAGCAGCTCAATTTGTAAAAATGAATATTTTGGCAAAAAAAAAAAAAATAAAATTGGCTAAGGGTGAAATTGATCATTTCATGGCAGTCTATTTTTTTTTTTTTACTCTCTCATCCCCGATCCACATAAACAGAGAATTTGCAAATTTTATTCGGAAAACATTATCAGCGTGAAGCCAGCACCGCACGGTCGGGTCTAGCCTCCTAGGCACCGCACGGCCGGGTCTAGCCTCCTAGGCACCGCATAGCTGGGTCTAGCCTCCTAGGCACTGCACGGCCGGGTCTAGCCTCCTAGGCACCGCATAGCCGGGTCTAGCCTCCTAGGCACCGCATAGCCGGGTCTAGCCTCCTAGGCAACGCTCGGTCGGGTCTAGCCTCCTAGGCAACGCACGGTCGGGTCTAGCCTCCTAGGCACCGCACGGCCGGGTCTAGCCTCCTAGGCACCGCACGGCCGGGTCTAGCCTCCTAGGCAACGCACGGCCGGGTCTAGCCTCCTAGGCACCGCACGGTCGGGTCTAGCCTCCTAGGCACCGCACGGCCGGGTCTAGCCTTCTAGGCACCGCACGGTCGGGTCTAGCCTCCTAGGCACCGCACGGTCGGGTCTAGCCTCCTAGGCAACGCACGGCCGGGTCTAGCCTCCTAGGCACCGCACGGCCGGGTCTAGCCTCCTAGGCACCGCACGACCGGCCGGGTCTAGCCTCCTAGGCACCGCTCGGCCGGGTCTAGCCTCTTAGGCACTGCGCGGCCGGGTCTAGCCTCATAGGCACCGCACGGTCGGGTCTAGCTTCCTAGGCACCGCACGGCCGGGTCTAGCTTCCTAGGCACCACACGGCCGGGTCTAGCCTCATAGGCATCGCACGGCCGGGTCTAGCTTCCTAGGCACCGCACGGCCGGGTCTAGCCTCCTAGGCACCGCACGGCCGGGTCTAGCCTCCTAGGCACCGCGCTGACCAGGTATGCAGGTAGGCACGACGAGATTCCTCACGTAATATTTCAGCAATGACTCAAGCTGCCCTATTAATATCAGATTCCATGGCGTGAAATGACGGGTCCTCTTTGAACCCGGTAAACATCTGCTGTTGGCACTCCTGGGGCTGGTTGATGGGATATCAATGGGAGCCTCATCTCCTGGCCTCCTCGCTGGTGTCATATGTTCTAATGTAGATAAACCTGTTCCTTTGATCGCGAAGGGTGGTTGTCATGACAACCCCGTGTGTATACATCCGAAATGTCCTAAGTCAGGGGATGGCTGCCAAGGACATCTGTGTAATGTCAACACGTTCTGTCACATTGGCGCAATACAATATGCGTCCTTAGCCTGGGGGGGTTTCATTGAAATGGCATTTTTTTTTTTCTTTGAAGGGATGCTGTGAGATAGGAAGGGAGATGGGTGAATGGTGCCATGGTTTGGAGATAACCAGCCCGTATTGTGCTGGCCACCGCAGTGCTAGAAGACTTGGCAAGTTGGGGGGGGGGGGGGGGGGGGGGTTTGCTGGGACTTGTAGTGCCACATCAGCTGGAGAATGGTTGTTCTAGCCCGATATATATATACCGAGTATTGTGACTGACAGAGCGGTGTAGGAGAGATTTCCGGAGGTGATCATCAATCCATCAATACAGAATATCACATTGATTAGATATTTCTGATATCCATGTTTGCTCTATTGTTCTGGACCCCCAGTATCAGTGTTGCCATTGTTCTGGACCCCCAAGTGTCAGTGTGCCATTTTCTGGACCCCCAAGTGTCAGTGTGTCATTGTTCTGGACCCCCAAGTGTCAGTGTGTCATTTTTCTGGGACCCCCAAGTGTCAGTGTGCCATTTTCTGGACCCCCAAGTGTCAGTGTGCCATTTTCTGGAACCCCCAAGTGTCAGTGTGCCATTTTCTGGGACCCCCAAGTGTCAGTGTGTCATTGTTCTGGACCCCAAGTGTCAGTGTGTCATTGTTCTGGGACCCCCCCAAGTGTCAGTGTGTCATTGTTCTGGGACCCCCCAAGTGTCAGTGTGTCATTGTTCTGGGGCCCCAAAGTGTCAGTGTGTCATTGTTCTGGACTCTCAAGTGTCAGTGTGTCATTGTTCTGGATCCCCAAGTGTCAGTATGTCATTGTTCTAGGATCCCCAAGTGTCAGTATGTCATTGTTCTGGATCCCCAAATGTCAGTGTGTCATTCTCTGGATCCCCAAGTGTCATTGTGTCACTGCTCTGGACCCCCAAGTGTCAGTGTGTCATTGTTCTGGATCCCCAAGTGTTATTGTACCATTGTTCTGGGACCCCCAAGTGTCAGTCTGTCATTGTTCTGGATCCCCAAGTGTCATTGTGTCTTTGTTCTGGATCCCCAAGTGTCATTGTGTCATGCATTCTGGGACCCCCAAGTGTCGGTGTGTCATTGTTCTGGATCCGCAAGTGTTATTGTACCATTGTTCTGGATCCCCAAGTGTCAGTCTGTCATTGTTCTGGATCCCCAAGTGTCATTGTGTCTCATTCTGGATCCCCAAGTGTCGGTGTATCATTGTTCTGGATCCCCAAGTGTGTCATTGTTCTGGATCCCCAAGTGTCATTGTTCTGGATCCCCAAGTGTCATTGTGTCATCATTCTGGGACCCCCAAGTGTTGGTGTATCATTGTTCTGGATCCCCAAGCGTCAGTGTATCATTGTTCTGGATCCCTAGGAGCATATTTATAATAGTGAGTTTAACATATGTAATCATCAGCTCGAGTCCAAACATGAGAAATATAAAATAATCTGTATCTAGCTGTGACCCCCCCATAGGTGAGAATGTATTTGTATTCATGGACACTGTATGGAAGGAGGACTCGGCGTGTGTCAAGGTGACCAGTTCTCAGCATTCAGAGGGAAACAAAGCAATCTCTGGATTTGTGTGTCTCTCTGAAAGGTGGGAAGATGACGGTACGAAGTTCCATAGCTTCACATTCACACTCTGGGCTGACTCATTACTGCAGCAAACAGTGATAATCCTTTTGGTTTCCTTATGCATGTTGCCTGGGGTGCCGGGAGGTCTGGTGCTGGACCCAGTAAATGTGATGTCTTTTCGGCTTAGTCCCCTAATTGAGTCTTCTCCTCTCCTTAATCCTGGCCTGAACACAAGCTGGCATTTTATAAGGTGAGGCAAAGCTGGTTGTCTTCGTGATATTGGTGCCTTCTCTATAACAGGCAACTTGTTTGAAAACCATATGAAGAGAGGCGTAACTAGAATCTTCAGGGCCCCGGTGCAAAAAACCATGAAGGGCCCCTGTGACCCTGTCCTGGGGCCCTTTCCACTTGTTTCAGGGTCCTTGCCACTTGTCCCGGGGTCCTTGCCACTTGTCCCGGGTCCCTTCCATTGGTCCTGTGTCCCTTTTCATCAGTTCTGGGGCCCTTTCCTCTGGCCCTGGAGCTCTTCTCTCCAAGTCTAGGGCCCTTCCCACCTGTGGCAGGGCCTTTAATTACGGTTTCACAGCGGGACTCTTTCACATATACTGCAACAGGTACACTTTCTGCCTTCTTGGGACCTCCTCGCAGTGACAGAATGCCAGAACCTGATCGCAAGTGCGACCTTTGCCACCCTGGTAGTCCCACCACTGCATATGAACATCCAACTTAAATAAGCAGAACGCATTTCAGATGCAAACTGCTATAGTTGATTTTCTTCAGAAAGCAGCTACAACCCGAGTAGAAACGTCTGCCGTCTGCCAGCATGCCAGCATGCCACAAAGAAAGACCATTGCTCTTTGTGTGGAAGCAGTGGTCTCTCTACAAAGGTCTGACACATCCATGGGGCAGACTGACCATTTGGAAGCTCGGGCACCGCCCGAGGGCCCGGGGTCAGTAGGGGGCTCCATGAGATGCCCCTGGTACCTTTTTCATAGGCTTTTTTGAGTTTGGGCAAGGACACAGGGGCTCCATGATCCCCTATTGCCCGGGGGCCCCATGAGTTGTCAGTCCGCCCCTGGACACATCCTCTGCTGAATCAGATGTACAGTATACAGTTGCAAGAAAAAGTATGTGAACCCCTTGGGATTACGTGGAGTTTTGCATGAATTGGGCATAAAATGTGCTCTGAACGTCATCTAAGTCACAACAATAGAAGAACACTGTCTGCTGAACATAATACTACACAAACATTAGATGTTGCCATGGTTTAATTGCACATAACATGTAAACATTCACAGTGCAGGGAGGAAAAAGTATGTGAACCTTTGGACTTAATAACTGGTTGACCCTCCTTTGGCAGCAATAACCTCAACCAAACGTTTCCTGTAGTTGCAGATCAGACCTGCACAACGATCTGGAGTAATTTTGGACCACTCCTCTTCACAAAACTGTTTCAGTGTAGCAATATTCTTGGGATGTCTGGTGTGAATCGCTCTCTTAAGGTCATGCCACAGCATTTCAATGGGGTTGAGGTCAGGACTCTGACTGGGCCACTCCAGAAGGCGTATTCTGTGCTGTTGCAGCCATTGGTTTGTTGAATTACTTGTATGCTTTGGATCATTGTCCTGTTGCCTCACCCATCCTCTGCAGAGCTTCAGTTGGCGGACAGATGGTCGTACGTTTTCCTGCAAAATGTCTTGATAAACTCTGGAATTCATTTTCCCATCAATGACAACAATCCATCCAGGCCCTGGGGCAGCAAAGCAGCCCCAAACCATGATGCTCCCTCCGCCATGTTTTTACAATGGGGATGAGGTTTTGATGTTGGTGTGCTGTGCCTTTTTTTCTCCACACATAGTGTTGTGTGTTCTTCCCAAACAACTCAATCTTGGTTTCATCTGTCCACAGTATATTTTGCCAGTAGTGCTGTGGAACATCCAGGTGCTCTTTTGCATACTTCAAACGTACTGCAATATTCTTTTTGGACAGCAATGGCTTCCTCCGTGGTGTCCTCCCATGTACTCCATTCTTGTTTAATGTTTTCCTTATTGTAGATGTGTCAACAAAAATGTTAGTATGTGCCAGAGATTTCTGTAGGTCTTTAGCTGACACTCTGGGATTCTTCTTTACCTCATGCAGCATTCTGCACTGTGCTCTTGCAGTCATTTTTACAGGACGACCACGCCTAGGGAGAGTAGCAACAGTGCTAAACTTTCTCCATTTGTAGACAGCCTGTCTTACCGTGGATACATGAACATCAAGGCTTTTGGAGATACTTTTGTAACCCTTTCCAGCTTCATGCAAGTCAGCAATTCTTGATCGTAGGTCTTCTGATAGCTCTTTTCTGCGAGGCATGGTTCACATCAGACAGTGCTTCTTGAAACCAGTAAACCCAAAACAGGTGTGTGTTTTTTAAGGGCAGGACAGCTGTCAGCAACACATCCAATATCATCACACTGATTGGAGTCAAAGTTGGCTCACTCCTGGCTCCAATTATCTCTGGGAGAAGTCATTAAGCTAGGGCTTCACATACTTTTTCCTCCCTGCACTGTGAATGTTTACATGTTATGTGCAATTAAACCATGGCAACATCTAATATTTGTGTAGTATTATCTTCAGCAGACTGTGTTCTTCTATTGTTGTGACTTAGATGCCGTTCAAAGCACATTTTATGCCCAATTCATGCAAAACTCCACGTAATCCCAAGGGGTTCACATACTTTTTCTTGCAACTGTAGCTCTCCAATCAGCATAGCTCATGCTTTCCACTGATTGGCAAACTCTAGCTCTAATTTATCAGTGGACGTGTCAGACTTCTGCAGAGATACCACTGCTTCCCACGACTGCTGCTGCTTTTTAAGGAAAGCAATCTGTAGGAACTCATGCGCACAGACATTTTAAGGCTCAAAAGTGCTCGTTCATAACAGTCCCCATGCGCTTTCCCATGCCCAAGGAGCTGCAGGTGGGTGGTTGTTGCCCCCCAAATGCCATAAGTGCAGGCATGGTTAAATGCCAATGCAAAGGAGTATTGGCATTTTCTTTCTCCCATGCAGTGGGTCTGTGCCTGCACTGCATGGATTAACTGTCCGGGGACTCACAGAAAGGCTATATTTACCGGATCCTTTGATCCTTCAGAAAACATTGCTCTCCCACATCCAGCAGTGGACTGTTCCTGATATCCTCATGTCCAGATCCAGTCTCTGGACATTCTGACACCAAGAACAGTCCATGCGGGGGTCAGAGGTGGTAGGGACAGGTCTTGTGCTTGGAGAATTGGTGGGTTAGGTAAGAATATCTCCGCTATCCAAACCCCTAGACAAATACAAGCAGTTAACTCATGCAATCGAGACACAATTCCACCCAATGGGGTTCTTTAAATACATTTTTGGTCAGGGGACAACCAAAGCATAATTTTAGGGATAATTTCTGGTGTGGCTTCTCAGAGAAGAATTTCTAGAGGTTGTGGAAGGGATTCTGAGAGTAGGAAAGCTAGAGGTCATGCTAGGGATTCTGAAAGTAGGATAACTGGAGGTCCTGGTAAGAATTTGGAGAGTAGGAGTTCTTGAAGTCCTGGTAGGGATTGTAGTATGTGTTCTGGAAATGCTGGTGGGGATTCTGAGAGTAGAAGATCTAGAGGTCCTAGTAGGGATTCTGAGAGTAGGAGTTCTGGAAGTGATGGAGGGGATTCTGATAGTAGACGTTCTGGAAATCCTGGTGGGGAGTCTGAAAGTAGGAGTTCTGGAAGTCAGGGTGGGGATTCAGAAAGTAGACGTTCTGGAAATCCTGGTGGGGAGTCTGAAAGTAGGAGTTCTGGAAGTCAGGGTAGGGATTCTGAAAGTAGGAGTTCTGGAAGTCATGGTAGGGATTCTAACAGTAGGTGTTCTGGATGTCCTGGTAGGGATTCTGACAGTAGGAGATATAGAGGTCCTGGTAGGGATTCTGAGAGTAGGAGATCTGGAGATCCTGGTAGGCATTTTGAAAGCAGGAGTTCTGGAAGTCCAGGTAGGGATTCTAACAGTAGCTGTTCTGGAAGTCCTGATGGGGATTCTGAGAGTTGGAGATCTAGAGGTC